AACTATTAGCTGAATGTACTATCAATAAAATCCTGGATCACAAGTACTCACCTTAATATTTAAAAAAAAAAAAAAAAAAATAATGTAACTATAATTACTAACATCTTATTTTAACTAATTAATAGAATGTTGTTACTGTAATACAGATGTATTTTTTTAAATTTTGTTTTTAGTAAGTTTTGAACTTACAATCTGCTACTTTGAGGAATAACAACTTATTCACTTTACTAAGTCATTACACTTTAGTTTAAAATATTAATTACATATATATTAGTATTATAAATTTAGATATCTTGTTTTAGAAAGATTTTTAACTAAAATTTTATATTTCATTGAAAATTATAATTTGGTATACTGGTGCATCATAATGCACCTATTATACTTTAGGGTAAGTATATTAGCACATAACAGGTTTTTTAGTTGAATTACATAACCTTGTGTAGCATATATAACCTTGTGTAATACAACATACAATCTTGTGTAACAGCATAATATATATTTGTTATATAAATTATATATATCAATTAGGTGTATTTATTTGTCTTATATAAAGGGTGCACTATAATGCAGGTGCACTATTTTAAAAAATCCTATTTCATTATATTAAATTTTAAGATACAAAAATTGTAATTTTTTTATTTATCAAAAATTTTAATTAAACTTAATAATTAGTAAAAAAAATTTTTGAAATTACTTTATAAAAATTTAATCCTATATACTTTTAGATATGAAAAATATCATATTTTAAAACCAATTAATATTTATAATAGGATTTAAAAATAGGTCAACCTGATAAAATTTTTTTATTTTTCGTTTTTTTGATCAAAGATGCGAAATGTAATTTAATAAAATTTTATTTAAAATTCCTGAAAATTGTAAAAGTATTTGCAAATCGTTATTCTGTACAAATTTACTTACTACGCCAAGTTTAATTTCCTTATTTAAAAAATAAGTTACATATGTAGTTACGATCATCATTAGGTACTAGTGAAAATTTCCTCCCTATTACATTACGTATCCATTTTGTGACACTATTAAATTCGGTTAATATATACGTAGAACGTTGAGAAAATATATGGCAATTTTCTACAGAAAATTGCAAACTTCAAATTGTATCTCCACGACATTCTACATAACGGATACCAAATTTTAATAAAAAAAAGAGATTATTACATTCACGTTAATAATAAAAATACTACTCCAACAGTATAATTTCGATAAAAATCTAAGTATTTCAGGTTATGAAAAAAAAGCTCTCTTTTTCATTATTAACCGTTATGTTTCACGCGAAATTTCCAAGTAGATTAATTTCAAGTTTGCAATTTTTTGTAGAAAATTATCGATAATCTATATATTAATCTAGTTAAAATCTCGCATAAGAATTCAATAGATAACATATTTTAATTTAATAGAGTGCTTTTTTTCACAACCCGAAAAATAATAAAAAGACACGAAGTTATACTGTCGCCGCAGTAGTTTGTTATGCGAAAATCTTCACTAATTGAATTTTCATATAGGAGTAGATCAACCAAAATTAACCAATCATATAAATATCTTCCCATGAACTCTATCACTGTTGCCATTACTAATTTGATAAATAATGGAAGACTCCAAAATCCAGGAAGCTAGAGAGACTATGGATAGTATGTTTATGCATCTTTTAACCTCTTTACTTGTGATATACTTGTTTTACTGACTTGTTTTTAATCGCTATCAAGTTCTTTACGAAATTTCTACCATACTTAATACAGGCTTGGATCGTGAAACACTTTCCTTGTGCTTAAACTTGTGTGAAAATGGCGTAAATCCTGAAGCTTTAGCTGTAAGTTTTCTTTATCCGTCAACCAAATTATTTCTGTAAAATACTAATTAAAATTATTTAGGCGGTGATAAAAGAACTTCGAAGAGAAAGTGCTGCAATAAAAGTATGTGCAAACATTAATACTCAAATGGTCTTTTAAAAATGAGGTTATTATTCATGTATGACTAAGTTTTTATATCTTTTCAAATTAAGTGAATCAAATATTAAACATCTTAAAATAAAGCTTAATCGGATGCAAGTCGGATAACATTTTACTAATATATTTATAATTTTATTGTTATTGTCTGAACATTTATTGAACATAATTCTCTACTTGGAAATTGACAATGTTGAGGGTCATCTGTGCAATTTCAAGTATTTTTGACTTGACTATGAAGTTTTGACATTTCTTAATAATTCACGATGGGAAGATGGGTTAGATCTAACCCTAACCTAAACCAACGTAATGTTACCCTCAAAATTAGCTTAATGCGGGCCGATGTCGATCAATCTAGGCCAATGATCGACATAAGAAAGTAGGAGTGCTAATAGGAGATGTCAAACAAGTATTCAATGTATAAAGAAAATCGATTTTACTAGAAACCAAAAATCTGTTTTCTAGAAATTAAATCCGTTTACCGGTTAATCGATCAGTATCCAATTGATCGGTAATAAAAATTGTAAATGGTTAAAGGAGCAGGTTAACGTTAACGTTAATAGGAACAACCAATTATTTGATTGGTTGTTTATCATATGATTTTGCAACCTCTTAACTACCTTTTGAAGCAAACCAAATACATCAAACATAACCAATAAAATCGCACGTTATGTTTAAAAAAAATAATGGTCCCATGTTTTTAATGAATTTGATTGGCTTAACAAACTATCACGTACTACATTTAACGTACAACCCACTCTCATTATAAAGAACTCTACATAGTGAAGATTATATAAATTCTCTCGATAGAATAAAACTTCGATATACTAAACTTTTTATTCACTGGTCGAGACATCAATAAACTATGTTATTTCCTATGTGGAAATCTACTTTATATGCTGGTAACACCTATGCTGTTACAGAGAATTGGTATCCATTGACTTTATCTCTTGTTATTTTTCGTGAAGAGTAATTCTCCTTATATAGAAGATTTGGTACAAGCAATTGGCTATGCATGTGATTAAGAATAGCATCCCTTTCTTAAAATCTAACGAGATAATAACCGACTTAACTGTTTATAATACTTTTATAACCGATCAATTATATATTAATCGATTAATCGGTTAAAGATTAAAGATTTCAAATCTCTATCATTATAACGATAGGGATTAACTCAAGATTGTAAAAAAATTACAATAATTTTTAGTATCTACAAGGAGTATTAAAAATATTCAAGCGAAAACATATTACTGATTCGCTTTCACGTGTCTATAGATGTGCTTACTTAAAGAATTGTCGATTTGTCTCGAATGGTATAGAAATATCGATTTTAATCATTAAAATATATTTGCCCATTAAAAAAATTTTAATATGGTAAATTTTTTAAAGGTATTACATCAAAAAATAGTAAACTCGTATCTCAGGTGGGAATTGCCTACTATATAGCACTAGATGAGTGTCGCCGAGGAAAAACCTGTCATTGGACTTTTAATTATAACTATCGATTCAATAGGCCTCTAAAAGTTGTGAGGGTATAATACTAGGGTGGTTTTATACGGTAATATCTAACGCTAAATGAAAATCGAATGATATTTTCGCACCATACATTGATTTGCCTTAATAAGAGGTACTTATCTAATGATGGTACATATACGTAATTAATCACGCCATATCGATATTACATCTTTTAAAAAGCCTAATACTTATAGTTACCTGATTTTGATGAGAAGCAGCAGCCAATAATAAATATTATCAGCTGGCTGCAAAGTTGTTACAACGCTCGAGACGAATTTTTGCATAGCGAATATTTTGAAATAACGAAGTTTTTTTGCTTCATAATTGTGTTTGATCATATAAAATTGTCTTTTGATAACCGAATATTTGTATATAGCGAAGGCATTAGGTCAGAATGTGCTATTACACACGATAAGATTTGTAGGCAGAAAAATGTCGCAGTACTGCAGCTTCTGCAACCACGTGACTTTACGTAGGACTTTTCAAAAAAAATTTTTTGTCAAAGTTAGTCATAGAAAAAATTATGTAATAATGTGTAAATTATCAATCTTGATGGTTCTGGTAATTTCGACAAATTCCAAATTCCACATGAAAATCTATATATATATAATAGGAGACCTACAAAAAAAAAATAATAAATCAAAAAAAAAATCAACCAAAATGTCTCTTATAAACCGTATTTTTCCATCACTTGCGCAAGATCTTAAACTTTTGGAACTTGAACCATTTTTCTCTCCAACATCACGCATTACAAGAACCTCTAATTTTCCTAGTGCATCCTCCGTTTTAAGCGGTTATTTTCGTCCGTCGGTTGATGTTTCTGAAACTGATAAAAATTATATCATAGAAGCAGAGGTTCCTGGCATGAAAAAAGATGATCTTTCGGTTGAATTCGTTGATAATACTTTGACCTTAAAAGGAAAAGTTGAAAGATTTAATGTTCGTGGTGATGATCAATTAAGAACTGTCGATACGACGCAGTCTAGTGGTGAAACAAAACCAGCTAATACTACAACCAGTGACGTAGTCGAAAGTGATCGAGAAAGTGCGTCCGTCGCAGAACCTACTTATTGGACTAGCGAAAGAGTTTTAGGAAGTTTTCAACGTTCTTTTACACTTCCTAATAATGCTGATAAGGATAATGTTAAAGCGCAGTATAAAGATGGAATTTTGTCGATCACCATTCCTAAAGTCGAACGTCAAAGTCAAAAGATTATCATTGAATAACATCATTGAATAATAACATTGAATAATATCATTGAATAATGGGGTTATGTCCTGTATGTAATTGCTCATTTGTAAAAATTCTCATAGTTAATAATAATAAAACAACTTTGTGTCAATAAATTTTCATGTGTATATTCTCTCATTTAATACGTATACATAAATATATAAGATTTCTATCTTTATTACGATTTGAATATAATAAATTTTGTACGGTGTTCGGGCTTAATAAGCGAAAAAACTAAACTGGTTAAGTTAATAAAAAGTCACATGTTTGTATATGTAATTTAGATTTCAATTGGTAAATAATGATGAGTAATTATCAGGTGTTGGGATCTTAAAACACGTGAAGTTAAAATTTAAGACTTGAAGAACCATTGAAAAGTACCTTTTCCTAATAGAAGCGTTAAATCTAATTCAAGTCTCCGAATTTTTTATCTTTGCAAAGATAAATTCAATGTCATCACCCATGGCAAACGGTACCCTTGAATCATCAGAAACAAATGGAAATAATTTTTGGACACATAAAGCGATCCTAGAGCGAGCAAGTATTTGCTTTAAATCCTCTTTCTTTTTATAAAATCTATAGTTTTGTTCTTATCCTTCCCCTTTATTACTCAGAAGTATCAAAAATTTCTCGATGAAGTAACACCATATGTGACTTATAGATGGATTGCCACTACGCTTCTAGGATTATTATTTATGATCCGCATTATTTCAGTGCAAGGTTTCTATATAGTAACATATGTAAGTACCGATAGATCTTTGATCTGTGATATTTTTGTATTAACTTATTTATTAATCACAGGCATTAGGAATTTATCTTCTTAATCTGTTCCTTGCATTCCTGCAACCTAAATTTGATCCTTCATTGGAGATGGACATTGCAGAAAGTGAGGTGGAAGAAGGTCCTTCGCTTCCAACAAAGGCTGACGAAGAATTTCGGCCATTCATTCGTCGACTGCCTGAATTTAAGTTTTGGTAAATCCCTATCTTTATTTCAATTAACTTTATTCATACATACTAAATCTTTTTTTATATATGTACTCTTTATACTTACCATTATTTTAATTCATTTTAGGCATTCATCAACAAAAGCCGTTATCATCTCTTTAATCTGTACCTTCTTTTCAATGTTTGACATTCCAGTCTTTTGGCCAATTCTTCTTATTTATTTTTGTATTCTATTCACTATTACCATGAAACGACAGATCAAACATATGATAAAATATAAGTATGTTTTTTGTGAATATCATTTCTTTTTGTATCGTTTGCTTGGTAAATTACTGTTTTCTCACGAAATATATATTTTATAGATATATCCCATTTGATATCGGTAAAAGGCATTATAAAAAATAAATATTTTTTAGTAGTGGTCTTCTTTAATACTTGTAAATCACATGATATAATAACATTATTAACGATCGGCTTAACAATACATCTCCTTGCAGGTTAGATGAGATGTAAAGTGTATATGCTTCTATACATATTTCTTGTTTTATACAATATTTCAATTAATATTATACTTTGAAATTTTAGTATTTAGAATTTTGTTTAATCATGTAACGAAAAAAAAAAAGAAAAAAATCTAATGATTGAAATTTATTTATATTTGTATTTACTTTTTATTTAAGATTTTGGTTTGACATTATCAAATTGTGTGAATTTATGCAATCTACCTAACTTATGTCTACAACTACCTATCGAGAATATATCGCACAATTACTAATAGATTTTTCGTATTTATCTTTATAGTCAAATTATGCCTGATTCTCCAGCTAATTAATTAGATTACTTTGTTAGAGTTTAGTAAAAAATATAATAGTTTCAAACTATAATATCAATATTATCCTGCCTCCCAGTAAAATAATCAATTTTTCTTTGAAAAAAGTCCCCAATTTGTCATTATTTTTGGGCATTGTTGTATAATATGACTTGCCCTTGGTGTCCTCCACTCTCCCAATTTGTCAAGTGTTCGTGCATAATGCATACATGTCTCACGAAAAAATTTGATATACATACGCTCGAATATTTTTTTCTATGGAAATTACAATATAAAACGTTAACATTAATTGTTAATAAAATTAATAAATAAACATATTATATACATATACAGTATATATATATCATGATTAAAAAAAAGAAATAATACAAACCTCAATTTTATGCTCTAATTGTTCTAAATGATTATATGCTTTATTATATTGATATTGTATTACGAAAGCTTCGGGTACAACCCATACTTCCGCTCCATTAAAATACATTTGTAATAAGCAAGCTGCTTTGCTTTTATCAAACATATCAAATCGTTCTGTACACCTAAACAATTACATGTTGAATCAAAATTTTATATTTATTTCTTGTTTCAATTCCATATATTTTCTATTATATTGAATCTTAACATACCAAGGAATATCGCTCCCTCGTTTCACAACAAAGTTTGGCTGATAATTTGAATCATAACCAAATGATACATTATATATTACCATGTTAATCCATTTTTCATAATTAGTAGGTCCCTTATTTAGTGGCCATCCTTGATCATTCATACCCATAACGTTAAATTGAACAAGTTGTATCAATTCATCGACTGTACTCGGAAAATCATATTTATTTGCAAATTCTGTAAAAGAAAAAGCTGGCAAAACTAAAATATCATTCTCCATGAGTAATTTCTTATGTTGTTTAAGATGATATTTTGCCATTGGTGATGGCCATGTTTCTTGATTAAGGAAAAGTACAAATTCTGACCGAGAAAAAAAACGTGCAATATTTAAATGAATGTTTGTGGGTTTCAGAATTCTCGTTAAATTTTTTGGTCCTACAACCATATGAACATCAACGTGACGTTTAATAACTAAATTTTCCTTATAAAGATTAGTAAAAGTACGAAGTACATTGATAATATTGGGGTTGTCATTTTCTAAAGTTTCGGTTGATACGTGTAAAATAGCCGATATGGGTCCTAAATTATGCAAATCAAATAAATCTTCATAAAAGATAAATCTTTAATTTATTATATAGTAATAATTATAGTTAATCACCTTGCCATGCTTCTGCTAATCTTATTAAATCATCATAACTATCTTTAGTGACCAATGTTGTGACTGTTATTTCATCCTCCTCTGGCGTCAATTCTGCACGGAAATAAAAGGGAAAAATACCATCTGTAGATAATTGTGAACTTTCGGAATGCATCTTAAAAAAACGATATTCATTATTCATTTCTGATAGTGGAGAAATATTATTTGTGTCTAAAAAAAAATAATAGTGAAATCTTAAAATCGACAGATTTCTCAAAGCATTATTAAAACAATGATTTTGTTAGCCTACTATATGTTCTGTTTATAGGTCGTAAAGCTTTTCGAGATTTTCCAAGATGCTCGAAAAGATGTATAGAAGATAAGATTACAGAAAATGCAAAGTAACCAAGCACAAGTGCCCACAATATTGTTTTAAAAAACCATATTGAAAGGTTTCTCAAAGTAGGCCGTGGTAAAGTGCCAGCAATAGGTAATATATATGATCGTTGAAGCATTTGTAATGTTAAAGAAAGAAATTATGCTTTAAGTACCATGCGATAATCTAAGTATTAATCGTTTTACAAGGGATTTACGATTACCCCCTTGGTTTTACGCATTTTTCGAATTATATTTGGTTTTTTTTTCTTTTGTTTATTACTATTATAAGTATATATGATTCTGAACACATGATTGTGTAAATAAAGTTAAACGATATGTTAAATTGAACTTGCTTCAGGCCTGTTCCAAGTTGTACCAGATTTATTTTCGAAACTTCAGAACCATGTTGTAGTGTGTTGAAAATATGAAAAATAAGTTGGAATGAAACTGGAACAGTTATAAGCAAATCTGGAGTGGCTTTAGAATGAACCCAACCCAAGTTGAAGTGGGTTGAGAAATATCTCAACCCAAACCACTCCAATAGCAACCATACCAGGAAATTGGTTATAAGAAAAATCGCCAACGAATCTGATTATATCAGATTAAAGCAAGTAACGTCAAAAAACAAAATTTCTTTAAAGTTTTATTAGCAAGCATAGAACATCTTTTTTTATAAAAGCTCAAAATGTTGTTTATTTCTTAAACTATTTAGCAGCCAAATAACTCTTTATTAAGAATATATTTTTTTAAGTTAAAATGAAAATTTAATTTAATTTTTTTTTATATTTAAGTTCTTATTTTTATAAATAGAGTTTTTTATTTAAAGCATTTTTAAGCAAATACCTTTAAAGACAATCTTAATATATTGTAAGATATAATTAGTTATATATATACTTTTATGTTTTATTAATTTGTTTATTACTAGCTTTTACATTATATAAATGTTATATCTACAAGTCAACTACAGATTTTGTTTATTTAAACGTTTTATAATGTATTTTTAATTTGTATTATAAAGACTTTTTTTTTTTTTGCTTTTACTAAGGTTGTAGTTCTTGGCAGTTACTGCCTTTATTATGATTTTAATTATGGTTACATAACTTGTACAAGATGAGTGTGCAACTAGTTACACATACAGCTTTTGGTTATTTATTTAAGTAATTTGCTTGCAGATTTTACACTAGTTGTTATACTTGTAATTTGTTAAGAAATTACTTAATTAAACATTTTGATTCTTATACTACATTTAACAGATAGTGCATAAATTTCTATATTTTAAGTATTATTTAATTTAATCTTAATTTTCTTATCTGTACATCTATTAAGCTATTACATATTTTAGAATATGTTACTTGACTGTAAGGCTCTAAAAGATCTTCTTGTTAACTAACTACTCATATTTAGTTCTTGTTAACAGGACTTATCTTTACAAAGTTCATTTAAATCTCAGTACTAACTTTATAACATATTTCTAATATTTATAGTATATTTCTGTTTTTATTATCAAATTTTCAATTCAAATAACATAAAAGAACTGTGACCTGTTCTTAATATATTAGAATTATAATATCTGATATTTTTTTCCTTTATTTAAAACTTTTGACAACCTGGTTGATAATATCTTTTATTCAAAATTCTTGCTTGCTTGATTTTTTTATATTAGTATCTGTTTTCTAGGTTTAGTCTTTATAGTAGTACTGTTAAAGTTTTATGTTACTTTTTTATTTGAGTCTTTTCAAGTAGGTTCTGGTTTTTCAGTTTTACAGATTGTATAGTTACAAAGATTTATTTTGAATTTGCATTATCTATTACCAGTTTGTATTTTTTGTATAATGTTATAAACTGGTTAATATAGCTGCAGTTAAGCTAGCTAATGCAGCTGCAACTAAGTTGGCTTAGCTAACTAAGTTAGTTGATATAAAAAATCAGTTGGCTAATATAACTAAGGATTATATAATTATAAGTTGTTAAAATTTTGATACTTTAAGTTCTAAAAATAGAAAATAGATAAACATAAAATATAAGAAAGGTTTTGTAAAAAAAACTGTTAGTTAGTCATTTAATTGATATTTTAGTTAGCTGACTTAGCTGGCTGATTAAAACCATTCAGCTTACAATATAACTTTTATATAATCAGTTACACAGATGCCTTATAACTTACTAATCATGTTGATGTGATCATAGTTACAGATATTTTATTTTAACTAATCAACAGAATATTGTTATTATAATACTGTCTATATCTTATATAGGTAATTATCTAAATTTTTATTATTAGTAAGTTTTGAACTCACAATCTATCATTTAAAAAATTAACAACTTATTTACTTTACTAAGTTATCATACTTCTTATAAAAATATTTTTAGAATTATATATTTATTATTATTATTTTTTTAATATTAAAAATAAGTAAGTTTTTATTAATCATATGTTTTAGCTTTGTAATTATATTACAACAGCCACAGAAAGCAACTATAAAAAAAATATACAAATAGTCACTCATACAACTTTAGTTATTGTCTAATTTAAGTAGTCTGTTTAATGATTTTATATTAACTGTTATATCTAATCAAGTACTTTGCAAATTAAATACAAAGATATTGATGGTGTTTCATCTTTTGAAAATTTACTTGTACAATATTGCTGTGTAATCAAACCTTCTATAACATTGCTATTATATTAATGCCTTTTTTCTGCAGAGTTAATTTCTTTTTAAAAATTTCTAATTCATTTTTGTATTTTATTATAAAACTTTTTACAGGATTTTGTATTTGATTTGTCTTCTATTTTTAGATTACTGACTTAAAATTCTAAAATTTTGTTTCTAGTTTGACTCAAACTATTGATCTAGTTTGTAAGAGGTTAGCAGCTTTTATTATTAAATTATAAGACTTAACCTTTAAAGTAAACTACATTAAAATCTTAATGATTATATTATATTTGCACTAATAAAAACTAAAACAATTAGTAAAATAGGTAAATTAGTAGATACAAAAACTAAAATGTTTAAATAAGAAACTTACAAATAAGTTTTAAATATAACAACTACTGTAAAACTTTTAGATAAACTACTTAAATTAAATAATAACTAAAGTTGTACAAGTAACTAGTTATATACTTTACTTATAATTGTTTTTTGTAACTGTTATAATACAATTATAAAGCTAAAGTATATTATTAATAAAATTCTAAAATTTATTTTTTTATTTTTTATTCTTTGACAAAATTTTATTAATTGAAATATTATTTATTTTTAGTAATCCATTTTTTGTGATTACAAGCTCAGGATTATTTAAATACAGAAACTACATCTAAATATAACTTATCATACTAATCTATATTTAAATTAAAAGACTTTTCAGCTCTGTCAAGAACTGAACCAAAATGGATTAATTCTATTTTGTACTACCTCATTAATATCTTCATTAAACAACTGCATATACTCTACTTCTTTCTTCTTTCTTTTAATTATACTAATCTTATTCAACATATCTTTATTGTCTTCTCTTTTACTTTTACTTTTTTTTATACTACTTTTTTATCTTTACTTTTTTTTACTCTGCATCACTTTACTCTTGATGTTATTCTATTTTCATCTTTTCATTTAACTACTGTTTTACATCTTCTTCATTATATTTCTTTTCTAAACATTTCTTCTACAACCTTGATGTATAGTCTTACAAAATCTTTTACATCTTTTTATAAGACTTTTCTTGTATACAATTCTTTAAACATACTCTCTATTAATAAATCACATATGTATGACTTGATTTTTAACCTTCTCTGCATCAGTTTCTCCAACTAATATTTTATTTAAATTATGTTTTTTTTACATTAATCAATATTTTAACTCTTTAATATTATTTCAGTATTTACTATACTCTTCATATCTAAGCAAATAAACTGATGTTTCTTGCTCTGCATAGCACTCTTTGCATTCATTTGTTTTATATAAGTTTGGTGCTCTCTTCTTTAGTATATCAAGAACTGGTAAACTATTACTTATATACTTAATTTTAAATAAAATCTTCTTGCTCTTCTCTTATTATTTATACTTGATTTCTGTTAAGCTTCTGTTTTCTTTTTACAATGTTTTTTAGTCTCTTTACACTTTAGAATTTGGCTTAAGCTTTTTAATTATGATTGAACTTTTTCACTTTGCACTATTTATTATATTCATTAATATCTTAACAAACTTTCTTGTAGGTACTTCTACAACTAACTCTTTCTAGTACAATGCATATTAGAACTAACAATTCTTTTCAAGCTTCAAATCTGAGTATTACTTAGCAATATACTTTTCTTTGCAAGTTTGTTAGCTCTTTTATTTCATACTATTCTACTATAAGCTTTAACTTTAACCAATACTAATTCAATGTTCTTTGACTTGCATACATCTTAGATCTTTATTACTAATCTAAAATTTTTGTTTTTGCTTTATATTCTAATATTGTATAAAGGTTCCTTCTTTTTTAGACTTGTAATTGCTACAGCACTATTTAATTTAATTACTATTCTACTATTAGATACTACAACTAAAATTACTATCAACACTGCAGCTAGCTTTGCTTTTATTAATGATGGCTATTTCTTTAATCTAATTTTTCTTTTTATTATAATTTTATTTTCATTTTTACTGACCTGCACCCAACTTGCACCTATTCTGTATTCTTTTTCTTCTCTTACTAAGAAACTATCTGTATAAAACTTATACTTTACATTTTCTACTATAACTTTTTTTTAACTACTTTACCAATAAATTTTCCAAACTATTATTAAATTTTTGCATCTTTATCAAACTAATTTCATGTATATAAACTATTATTCCTTTATCTAAAACTTTTTTCTTATTTATATCATCTTCTTTTATATAGTCTTTCTTGTATTCTTTTAGTTTTTCAAGCAGAACTGAACCTCTTTTTTCATACTTTTGTCTTACCTTTAGCAGTATGTCTACTATTGCATTCTTTTTAATCTAATGCTAATAACTACTTGTATTGCTTTTATTATTTAAGTTGCTTTACTATACTTCACAAATACCGAGCAACTCTTTTTATTACCATGAGGCATGCTCTAATGATTTATTAATACTTCTTTCTTCTTCTTTTTAATTACTTTGCCTATTATTGGTTCTGC